AGCCGCGGCCGCGCGGGGGGGCGCTGGCGTGGGCGTCACAGGCCCAGGGCGGCCGCGTGCTTTTTGGCTTTCAGTCTGAGATCGGCGATGCTGGAGTTCTTGCTGGTGGTCTTGGCGGCGGCGGCGGCCGCCACCACCGAAGCCGCCGAGGCCGAGTCGGCCGCCAGCGTGGCGAGCGGCAGTCCGAAGGGCGGCGCCGGGAACATCATGTAGGGCGCGTGCGCCGCCAGGTGCGGGTGCAGGTGGTGGTGCGCGTGCGCCACGGCGCTGTCCAGCTGCAGCTGCGCCTGAACCTGAAAGGACAAGGGCGTCACGTTGCAATGACTATCCTAGGGTGACAACGAGAATAGAAACAGAGCGTTAACGGCGTCCAGCTGGACTGGGGAGGACTGGGGGCGGGGGGCGGGAAGGGATCGTTTGGCTGCGCGTCTTGCCCCGAGAGTGACCTTCTCAGCCTGTTACTGAATCTGGGGCGCCAGGGGGGATTCCAGTGGCCCTAGGCCTCCGCACCTCTCTCAGCGTGGGCTTATCTCTCTGTACCCCAGGGACCCCGTCTGCCGGAACCTGGCCGCCCCCTGGAGAGCTGGGCTGAAGAAAGGGCGGCGTTATTATTGTGCTGGAACCTCGCCCTCCCGAAACTAACAGTGGTATACTGGAAAAGCTGAGGGCTAGAGCCGTTAACCCCCTTTCCCGCCATACACCCTCCTTCCCTGCTACTAAAGCACCGAGTCTCCAAACGCGCAAACTACAAAACTTTTCCATGCCACTTCAAGAAGCAATTGCATCTTCCCCACAATTGGCAGAGCTGTCAGACAGTACTGCGCAACCTTGACTGCCACAAGAGTCACCTGGGGGTCTTGTTAAAACGCAGATTCTGATGCAGCAGGTCTGCATTTCTAACAGTCTCCCCGGTGGTGCTTAAGCTGTTGGCCCAAAGATCTCGTCCTGAGTAGTAAGGGTTTCCTTCTCAAGGTCCCCTCTCCTTTTCTCGGGTCAATCCCTTTCACTTCAAAAGCCCAACCCCAGGGAGCCAGAGTCCTCTCCAAGAGAGCTAAAATCTCCCTAGCACCTACACTCAATACATGGGTACAACCAGGTATCTCCCCAGACCAGGGCACTGGTGACTGGGCGCTAACTCATGACAGCACAGTCATGCCGAGCAGGGTTCCCAGTCGAAGCTGGGGAAGGTCAGGCACTAGCTGGGAAAAGATTGCGCCCTCATGCTCTGACAGCGGGGAGTTCCGAGCTCTGGGATTTCCCAGGATTAAATGATTGCTGCAGACTGTCCTTTTAAAATACAGTCTTAATGGTTTCTTTAAGGTTAAGAAAGGAATTTTGGAGGTAGGGCAGCCCTGGGAAGACCAAGATTTCACTTCACCAGGGATGAAGCTTTGCTTACAGAGAGAGCTTTAAAAAATCAAGTCTGAGTCGGGAGGACTTTTACTTATTTATTTTTCTTCCATCAGAGACATTTAATGTGACTAAGAGGTGGAAGATACCTGGAAAAAATATTTAGAAGGTTGCCTTAGAAACACTTTAGGACTAACCTCTGTATTGAATATGACAAAGTGTTAATCAAAAGGCTTTTCCTTCCTCTTCCCAAGTGCAATCTTCAGAGCATTTTTAAAAGACCAGTTACTGCCCTGAGGCCCCTGCGGGGTTCCAACAGGGACAGAAAGGGCCAGTCATGCAGGCCCCTGACACTGTATGGATTTTTAAAGGGGAGTGGATACACTATATCATCTTAAAATCGTTTCTTTAACTGCTCAGACACCATCACTGGGACTCAGAAAGGGAGGATGCTCAACAGTTCAAGCAAATATCCAAGTCTTTCTGCAGTTATAAACAGATGAAACTAGGCTGTACTTGCCTGCTGAAATGGCATCCTTAAAGCACCTACGTTGACATAAGGTGCGACTCGACAAGCTTCAAACTGGCTGGCAGCCCCTATGAGGACGCCTGCAAAAAATAGGGAACAAAACACAGTAATGTAAGGTTAATAGCTCCAGCACTGCTCTCCAATGTTCCAAATGGTACCAAGATTGAACTAATTCCTTTGGAATTGAATTCTTAGCTTTCTAAACTGATGCCATAATTAAAATACATACAGTTTACTCCCAAACCTTAGGACCCTCATTAATTGCCTGCAGAAAAGATGCTGAATTTAAAGACATGGGTCATCTTTAGGAAGATTTTTCAGTCTTTGTAATAACAATATGCTCCAACTCTCTTTTTACGTAGAATATCAAATGTTCTTTGTATGAGATGCATACCTTTGTGGAGTTGGTTTTCTTGTTTTCTACATTTAGCTCTTCGATTTTGAAACCAAACCTACAAAGTGGAGGGGAAAAAAAAACCCTAGATATTATGACCCCAAAATTTAAAATTACAAGAATACAGAAGAGGAAAAAAAAAAGTAAGTGTTTTAGACAAAGATTGGGAGATACAGCAAGCGATCTTTCATTATATACAACAGTCTCAATTTTCAAAGTTAAAAATGTAAATGAATTAGCAAAATAAAAAAGATTTCATAGACTTTTGCAAGATAAAGTGCTTCCTGATAAATTACTATTAGCCCTAGTTTCATCTTTCCCCATTACAGAGTCCCTAAGGCCTAAAACGCTCCCTGATACCTGATACCAACGTGATAATGGGTTTAGATGTTTGCACAGTAAGACCTGAAAAGAATGTGCTCATTAATAGCCTGTAATATTAATTAGCTTCATCTTCAAGAAAAACCAAACCCCAAAGCAAATAATGACTCTGGGTTTTTTTTTGTGGGGGCGGGGGGAGCATTAGGAGTGGAGGAGAGGTAATTAGTGTCATAAAAATCTCACTACAAAGAAGTTTAGAATTTCTCTGTTCCTCTGTAGAGCGGAGTGTAACACAGTAGCAGGATAATTGTGCCATTATCATGATAATCTAATTTGCTTCTATAGAAAAAGCGGCTGCTTGCAGTTTAGGTGGTAGAGAAGCATCCAGAAAATAGCTCTAAAACTTAAATAAAAGTATGAAAAAATAAAGAGAAACAATAAAGTTCACTTAGTAAACGAAAAAGAAAGAGCATCCATTGGGGGCAGGTGAATCAAGTAACTCCTGGATACTACCTTTTCCCGATATTACCTTTTTAAATAAACTTGCCAACTTTTAGATTTTTTTTAATACAAATATAGCTTGCTTTTATACCCCCGTTCCAATAATACAGCACACTGACTGGTTTACAAATGAATGTAAAAATACACGAAGGTAAAATATTGCTTCAGAGCTAGTTCTGGTAAGTTTGTGAAAGCAAGTGTCCCAATCAATGTAAATCTTCAAAAATTCCCCTGCCGAGTTAGTGTAATAGGAGGGCGGATTTCGTGCCAGGGTGCTGTCTTTTGTGCAACTCAGATGGCCTGAGGCTTCTTGCCGCTTCCTTCCCTAGAAGAGTTGGAGCTGAGATGCTAATACTCATAACGATAATAATCATTATCACGTCCTTAAGGGTTGCTGAGCCCCTAGACATCTCAGTGCACCCAGTAAAGCAGCAGAGGCTTAAAAAGGACGCTGTGCTGTTGACGCTTTGAGGACCAAGGCAGCCTATTATTACTTTTTTCCTTCAACGTGACTGCTCTGTTTTTGTCCTGATCCTATTACAAGACGCGGGGAAGCCCCATAAGAATTGCGCATAGTTCGCTGCAGATGGTGGTCTCTGCGCCCAGAGACCCAGGGAGTATCTGTTACAGCCACACTTTGTAACAGCTGCAGATGTTCGGGGCCTACAACTGCTCCGTGTGTTCAGACAAATAATGACCTTCTTTATTATTTGAGCGGAAATACTATCTGAAATATTTAAATTTGTTCTCCATAAACCTGGAAGGGTATATATATATATATACACACACACATATATACCACACACCCCCACGCACCCCCCACATACATATATTTACTTTTAAATGCCCCCAAAGCCTTCTTATGTTATTATGTTCACCTCCATAACCAGTAAAGAAAACGTGCTCAGATCTGAACTTCATCGGTTATGACACCTGCTGGGGGTGGGGGTGTCAGACTTTGAACAGGCTAATATTAAGATAAGTGGGTTGTTGTTTTAAAATTGAGTTTCTGTAGGTGCAGGCTGCCTCAGTTCAATGAGTGAACAAAGAGTCACCAAAACGCATTTGTTTCTCCACCGTTTCACATGCATCTTGAGATCTACCGCTAATGGCAGACTGTAAATTTCTGCACTTAACAGTTACTAATTTACTTTATAGTCTGTACATCTATAAACCTAATTGGCATATCCGCTTGGCAAACCTACACCGCGAAGCAGACCCTCAAGAAACCCAACTCACACAAGCAAAATATCCGTTGTTAACTTCTAAAGCATCCAGAGATAAAACGTTTTCTGTGGGATTTTTTTTTTAAGGCTTATAAAAGTAGGCGCATTAGGATTAAACCACATTAAAGCCAGCACCAGGCGAGGCGGGTGTGGTTTATAGAAACTCTGGGAGCAAGCCCAGCACAGCTTTCTTCTGCTGGGAACATATGTTGGGACGGGAGAAAAAAAAAATGCTGTAGGACTAAAATCTAGCTAGGAAAACGTAACATTCCTTTCCTTCTCACCTCACACCAGACACATGAACCCGCACCCTGGAAGTGTGGCCCCAAGCCACCTCCCGACCTCCAGACGCGCCTTCCCCCTTCACGCCCCGGGCCCAGCCTCAGCCTCCTCGAAGCTCTCGGTACCTGCACGCGGGCTTCGGACAGGCCCAGCCGCTGGCTCAGCTCCTCGCGCATGAAGGCGTCAGGGTAGTGGGTCTCGTCAAAAAGCCTCTCCAGCTCGTTGAGTTGTTCCAGGGTGAAATTGGTCCGACTTCGCCTCTGCTTGATTTTAGTCTGGCCTTCGTCCTCCATCCCTTTCGCATCCTCTTTGCGATCCTTCAGCTCCGGGGACACTGGAGGGGGGCACCACGGATGGGGCCACACATACATTCACCCGCGCGCGCGCGCACACACACACACACACACACACACACACACACACACACGAACAAAAACAACATAGCAAATCCCATTACCAGGTTTGTCTCAAAGAAGGGGGGAGGATCCAGCCCCTCCCTCTCGCCCTGAGGAAGAGGGTCCTCAAGAAGTACAAAGGTCAAGTCGGGGAGGCCGCCCAGGGCAGGGTGGGCGTTCACCTCCCCTCCGCAGTCTGTGGCCTCAGCTCACCGCCTCACTCTGCACCCCATAGTCTCCTGCACCCCCCTACCCCCACCAAGGCCAAATCTGCTCCACTCACCCTCTCGCAGTCACTCTCTGCCAAGCACTCCCAGAAATCAAAGCACCGCGCCGGGTGCCTTGCCGAGCGCGGCCCGGGCAGAAGGGCGCGGCGAGGCCACTCACTGGCCGCTCACATCACCCATTCCCGGAGGGCTGGGCCCTTCTCTGGCCAGCTGTGACCGCCGCTGGCTCCCTGCCTCTTGCAAACTTGCTGGTGTACTTTAGGAACAATTGGGCCGAAAGGTCGCAGCGGGAGAGCAAGACCCGGGTGCTGCGCGGTTCAGGGAGCGGAATCCCCCGGCACCCTGCGCCTTCCCAGGGCTTCGGCCAAGTCCCGCGGGCAGCCCTACAGGCAGCCTGGCATTCCCTGTCCCCCCTCCCGACTCAGGCCGCCTGAGCACAAGCGCCCACGCCATGTTGGCGGCCTGGAGGGCTCGCCGCCCACGCTGGGCCAGCAAGCAAGGGCGGAAAACCTGCCTCTGGGGCCCGCGAAACCCACCGCTGCTCTGTCTCTCCTTCTCCCTCCCCCGTGGAAACGCAGACTCGACCCTAAATGCTTAAACCCACAGAGATCAACAGGTTCAAGCGGAACAATCGCGGTCCTCTGTTTCTATTGGTTGCTCACAGTCTTTTCCTGCATCCAGCAGCTCGGATGTTTAATAAAATATGCATTTTTCTGCTCTGGGTTTGCACACATCCGTTGATATTTTTCTTGTCCTTCCTTTTAAAAACAGGAGCTCCACAAGCGTGAGCATACAGAGCCACCCAAGGGATATATTATTTTTTAGGCCAAGGGGCAGTGAGCCAGGGAGCCGGTATCAACCTAAACTGCCCCCTAAAACCTGCCTCTTCTGCGCCCAAGTCGGTGAATCGACTTCTCGGGTGTCAAGGCTGAGTCTGGATACCGAGACAGTTTGCAGTTCTTCTCAGCCCCAAATCCCGATCAGCATGGGTTTTCAAAATCATTTCCAGAAGAGCCTTGCAAAATAATTCCGATCTGCAGAGAAACTGACATTTGCCCTGAGCTTGGAAGTCAACACTCCCAGGGACTGCGCCCGCCCCGGGTTCAGACCCGAACCTTGCCGTCCCGCGAGCTGGAGAGCCCAGGGTCTGGGACGGTGAACCAACACCAGGGGGGCTGCCCTGGGCCCGTGACGGCTGTGCCCTCACTTCCCAAATTTAGGGGTACTTGGTGCCGGGTCTGGCGGAGAAGAGTCTAGACTTCAGCCCAGCCTGGCCTCCTGGCTGCCGTGATCTTAAGCGCTGCCTGCATTTTTAGTTCTCAGAGTTCGTTTTGTGGACATCTGTCCTTCCTCCGGGGAGGAAGTGGACGTTATAGCCAACATTCGGATCCAATTTAATAGGGAAAAATTTCCACAGATACTGCAGTGAAATTTAAATATGAAAACACACCCTTCGGATTCTGCCAAAGGGGTCAGAAGGCTTTGTCTATTTCATGTCGTCTACACAGTGGACGCCTTTCAAACTTTTGCAGCTTCAAAGAGAAAGATGTCCAAATTGCAAGTTGATTAATAGACTTAATATAATCTCTATTTTGCCCCCAAATTTCCACTTAATGGCCTAAACAGGAACAGACCGTATTATAAACAACTTAATTGCTTGCTTAAATATGTGATTCTACGCATGCCACATATTTTCTTAATTGGAAAAATATGGCAGCCCATTAGTTACTGCAGGCACCAAGTGCCAAATTAATTTTATTGTTGAACTCCTTCAAATTGGCACAGGACGCTCCACCATCTAGGTAAAGCCGCTTTGTAACACTTCTCTGGCACCAAAGAATTTCTTTTTTCTCCGCAAGACCAGTAGTGGACGATGCAAAGCAATAAAGAAAGTGTGTAAATATAGAAAAAAAAAACCTCTAAAAAAGGAACCTAAAGGCGTCAGCCAGGAGAAGGAACATAGCCCGGATTTTAGCCTGCCTCGACCTCATTCTACCTTTGTAACTCAAAGAGAACGGGAAGTTGTGGCCCCCAGGATCCTGGATCTCTGCGGAATTGAAAGGTTTTCTAGCAGCGGCCCAAACCCCAGGGGTGACCCGAGCGGGAAGCCAGTGTTTCTCTCTCCCTTTCTCTCTCAAAGTCGGCGCTAGATGCTAGCCTTAATCCGGCCGCCTGCCTGAGCCCTTGCCAGCACCCGGTCCGCGGAGCTCGGCCTCGCGAACTTCCTCCTCCGCCCGCGGCCCGTGCGGGCTGCGGGCCCATCTCCGGCTGGTGGAAATGCATTTCGGTGGAATGGGAACAGCCGGAGCATCCGCGAAGGGCGCAAGCAAACCCCCGCACTCACACTCGGCCCCCACTCACGACCGTGCGCACCGCCGGCCTCCCGCCCTCCACCGTCACTCTAGCTTGCAAAGCTGGGGTCCCAGGGCCCTCTCGGCGTCCCGCCCCCGCCCCGCGGGGCCTCGGGATCCCCTCGGGCCCGAGAGGCGTCGGGAAGGCGGGGAAGGGGACCACGGCCGGGGTCGGGCCGTTACCCTCGGTGAGCCGCGGGCTGCCCGGCTCCCTGCTTCTCTCGGCGGCGCCCATGTCCAGCTCCCGGACAGGAGAGCGCCCTCCTCCTGTTCCTCCGCCTGCTCCTCCTCCTCCTCCGCCTCCTCCGCCTCCGCCTCCGCCTCCTCCTCCGCCGCCACCGCCTCCGCCGGCCGCCCGGACTGCCGGGCTGCTGCGCTCGTCGCGGCCCGGCTCGGCGCCCGGCGCCTCCTTGGCCCCGCGCAGCGGCCCGCTTTCCAGCACCTCCCGGTACGTTATGATTTCCTTCTTCTCCTTCACTTTCTGGTCAAAAGACTTGGAGACGAACGCCGTGAGTTCTTCCATGGCCGCCACCGCCCGGCAGCCGCGCGCTCAACCTCGCCCAGCCGAGCCCCGCGCGTTTTTTCCTTCTCCTTTTTTTACTGCTCCAGCCCCCCCAGTAATAACACATCAATGGGGCAGGGGGTGGAGGGGGGAGGAGGAGGAGAAGGAAACGAGGAGAAGACTGAAGAAGGAGGAGAAGTGAAAGGAGGAAAAGAAGTCCGAAGAGGAGGAGGAGGAGGAGGAGGAGGAGGAGGAGGAGGAGGAGGAGAGGGCGGGGGCCGCAGCAGGGAAATGGGGACTGGCGCTCCCCCGCCGAAGCGCGCTCGTTCAGTGGGAAGATCTTTGACAATTCTTCCTGCGGAGAGTTCAGATCTGATAGCGACGCTGCGCTTGAAGTCTCACTATTTATACTTGGCAAAGGCGGCCCTTGTTCCGAGTAAATTACCTCCCCGCAACTCCAAGTGAGCACCTTCCCGGGGAGCAGCCGCGCCACTACCTGGCGCGGGGGCGGGGGGAGCCGGGAGAGAGAGAAACGGGGCGGGGGGGAGACAGAGGGAGCGAGAGAGGCCGAAGGAGGGAGGGAGAGAGACGAGGGAGAGAGACGAGGGAGAGAGACGAGGGAGAGAGACGAGGGAGAGAGACGAGGGAGAGGGAGACGAGGGAGAGAGACG